ATAACCAATCCCAGGGTTTCCAAAACCTAAGGTTAAATGCCGTTGTCACTAAGCCACTTGCACGCAATCCTCAGCAGTCCGCCCGACTATACGAAAGAATATACCGCGGGGGGGGTCACCGATAACGTTTCAGAATTCAATTTTCCCCTTTTGTTTTGGGGCTACTCCTCGAATCTCACTAGTAGCCATTCAGTGTATGCTTCTGTAATGGCAGGAAGAAAGTTCCAAAAAAACAAAATAAAACTGGAATGGTCTATTCTGACATAATGGCCGTCATCAATCCCTTTTGGAAGACAGGGCGATATCCGGGACCCCAAGCGAATGTCGTGACACGTCTAAAGTAAACAAAATTCCATCATTCTAGGAAATGTCTGTACGGTGCCTATTACTACGATAATCATAGTAGGATACCGTTGGCTCTTGTAATATTCGGGTAGGACGCACTGCGAAGAAAGCTTGATGGCTGCTTTGTTAGCCCGTGCTTCTCCCTGCCTCCTCTACTCAATCGTCTTTGGCCGGGGTGCAAATTTTATTGCCTAGATCCGTTGTTCCAGATTGGCATATTCCGTTTGTAAAGCTAAAACCCGTTTCTGCTACTGTTTCCTGCTCATGTCTCTGATGATGAATCCATGATGGATGTCGAAAAGTTAGGGAAATAAACATATTGTCACAGCAATCGAGTCGCCTTCTTCTCCGTTGTAAAGGTCTTGCCGAGGGCAGCGTTCCTATCGACCTGGCGACCCTGTCAAAAGAAGGAGCTGTGTTCATGTTCGTGTGCGTTCAAGCCAGACAGAAGTTCTTGCGCGTCCATTTGTGCCTGTTATTTCCCCTATGTCCGCATTTTATGACTGATATACGCCGTTGCCAGCCCATGTACTAGCTTGCTATGCATTTTTATGTGATTGGGTGCACTTTGACTTTCGGAGAAATATTACCGCATCTCCGTCTTCGTTTGCGTTCTTAGATTTGGGTGACCGGATGTTGGGCCTTTGCTTCGTAAGAATTAACTTGAACAATCAGTTTCATATTCTAAAAGAGCCGCAGGTATCTTGGTCAGACGTTTCATAGTCGTCTAAAGACCGCGGGCGATGCTGGCCACCCCTTGCTATAAGAGATGAGTAACTACTTTGGGAGAGTTCCCCATAGGTTATAATATCCGCATAAAAATTGGATGTTGTGAGTCTTATTACCTGTTTCGACATTCATCTGCATTCTCTCTAGATGCATAAATAGACATAAAAAGACAATAAACACCGAATGTAATGGAGTTCGCTAGCCTTATCATCTACCTTTTTACCTTAAATTGCATTTTGTTGTATCGAGTTCAAACGTGGCTACGCTTGAGGAGCAGCGAGTTTTTATATTCGTTCCCAGGCCTGTATTGGCGCTCTTACGATAGGTCCTTGTCTTTAGACTCAAATCGGTTTAGCTCTGGACCATGATGTTCGGGAACTCTATTTTATCGTTGGCCTATGATTCTACTGTGAACTGAATAGCCCGAAAACGGTGCACAGGGTAATTTTTAACGGGAGGACTTTGCGGCTTGTGGAAAAAGGTGATATCCTACAAATATCGCGACTATAATATGTCCGGTAGATAGAGTTCTTTGAGATACAGTGGTTTATTATGTAAATTTTCAACATTGGCACACCAGATCGTCGTCAGACGGATGGAAATTGTACGAAATAGTTAATTCAAAATTATGGCTAACAGAAG